TGGTACTCCTACTCACAGCTCTTCTTGAGCCATATGCCCCTCCTGCCAGTCAGTCACATGTACATAGGATTTCTCTTTGCACCCCAAGAAAGGGCTCTGTGTATGTGTGCTGTCCTTCTGCTGTGATGGGGTAGCGAAATGTCAGTGAGGCCTCCACACAAACACAGAGCCCTCTGCTGGGATGGCGTGTCCCCTCCACAGTGCTCCATGGTGCAAAGGGTTGGGAAGGTGGCACTTCTAGGGAACCCTACTCCTAAAAGGAGTGATTATCCTGTGAGATTTCCATAGCAGAAAGAGCAGCAGCTGGGCTCCCCTTCCACCCAAGCAGCACTGGTGGCAGTACCGGAGCAGTCTCTGCAGACTTAGGAAGACATAACTGCATTGGTTTACACTCAGTTTGTGTTTGGAAGATTATCTTCACAACCATAAGGATTAGAATTTTTTTTTTTTATGAAAGCTAAAATTCTGCAGAAACTAATGGCACTCACCCAACAGAGTCCTACTTCAGATGGGGAAGTGGATTTTTCAAACCCTGGATGAGTCCACATAAAACGAATAAAATAAAACACTCCTCAATATCAGTTTAGTCAATGCCAATGACTGTCAGGCATGCGGAGTTTTACTTAGAGAGCAACCCTCATATTGAGGGTGCTTTAAATCTGGTTTCCAAATGGCCTGGACCATTAGGTAAAGCCTCCTATATTACTTAACCAGGTTCTGATGGTCTCAAGTGATGCCCTCAAGCAGGTTTCACTCTGAATATTCATAACTTTTCTCTATTACATACACTATTCAGGGGCTCCTCAAACCTGGGGTACCTCAAGCCTCTTTTGCTTCAACATCTAACTGTGAAGCACAAAAAACTTAAAACAGTCAATTAAGTAAGTAACTAATATTTCCCCCAACCAAATTTCCAAAAGAAAAAGGGATATGGTATAATTTCAGAATAGCTGTAACGTCCAAGAATGATGCATTTTGGGGTGTCAGAGCATCTGGCAACCAGCCTGTTAGAGTTTAAATGACCTACAAAGATTGTTAATTTAGAATTTGTGCTGAATATGCTCCTCTGCGCCATGCTATTTGGGGCATTCTGCACATATTGCAGGGTTAATTCATATTTCAAAACCCTCTGTAATTCACCTTTCAATGTATTTTATTTTATCTGCATAGTGTTGTCAGCTGAAAACTGCAAATACCACAATTAGAGGGACTTGTACTGCACGTTCCAAGGAAGTTTTAGATCCATAGAAATTGTGCAAAATTCAGCAAGTGACCCTTCAAACCACAAAGGGGATCCCCAACACTTCTAAGCATCTGACTATAACAACTTTATAGAACTATATATCAGCAATTCCAGAATGCAAAAATCTCACGAGAAATGTCTTTTGCAACTGAGAATTTTTCACTTTTTCCTCAGACGAACACGGTAGCAGGATTGCAATTTTATGATTGAGAACATCTCATTCCCATTGATTCCACTAGGTTAGTTCCATCTCCCCTTTCAATCTTCAAACTGAATACAGAGTAATCTTCTTCTCTAGGACTGTTACTTCCCAAAAGATACATTCCCAAGGTTTCAGGAGAATGGTTAAATATACTAGTCCACACCTCAAATAGATGTCATCAGAATCTAGTTCTAAGCATAAAAAACTAGTAATGTTTTGAGTCTGTTGGGATTATCTTTAGCTATCTGGTCTAACACCAATGTCATCACTAGTGTAAAGTAAACCAAAGTTTCCTATTCAGGGGCAAAAAGGATATTAAGATTGTTCTCTATCTCAAGCTTTCTGGTTAATATTAAAAAATATGGGGTATGTAAACAATTTTCTTTCTAATAAGAGAGAACATGCATCTAGTACTAGTACCAGTACCATTACCTCTTTCTTCCATTAAAGAGAGTCTGATTCCTGTTCTAAGAGACCCAACTTAGATTCCCTTATCGGCAGTACCCACTTCCTTCATCCATACAAGTAGTAATGGTGATCTCCTTCCCCACAAGATAAAGTGCAGCTAGAAAATTACTCAGTTTCAAGGCTTCCCTAATTAATACAAGAAAGTTGACAATGTCCTACTATGCTTAGTATCACTAAATGGGTCTTCAAAAAAGTGTAGTGAAGCATAAATATTCTGAATATCTGAACAGTTAATATTACTTTCATCCCCGATATACTGATATAAGGCATGAACTGAGGGAGGGATAATATCCTCTTGGAATGAGAACTTCTAAGTAAATGCAATCAGAGTTGAAGAATTCTTGATTAGACTGTTTTTGGTTTGAGGAATACGTAGTACATGATATAGTGTTTAGAATGGAGAAAAAAACAATTTTAAACTTAAAGAAAAAAGAACAGAGATAAAAAGACCATGGATTCTAAACCACCTGAGACAATTATTACATGAACTAAGGTTTTTAAATCACTTGTTCTACTTAAAAATTGAATAAAATCCAAGACTTAACAGAAAAAGAACACACACACACACACACACACACACACACACACACACACACACACACACCAAAGATGAACCTTCTTGGAGCAATAGAATACCAAGAAACACCAAGGAAAAACAAATATTTTCAAGTCTGGAATTGATTCAAAGATAGTTGTCAAGCTGAATATGTGACAGACCACATATCTTGACACCACAAAAATTCCAAGATGTTACCTTAAGTGGGGGCATGTCACTGTTGTGACAAATGCTGTTTGTAGACCTGGAGAGCAGTAGACTCACCTGCCCTGATAGTGATGGACTGTCTAATCCAACATTTCCCGCTATCTTATTTGAATTAAACTAACTAGCCTGTGTGATGGTCTTTATAAATTCCAGTAGCTAAATAGCAATTGTATGGAGTTAAGAAAATTTCTGAAGGCCCAAACGATTAAACACTTTTTGGTGAAATATATTCTCTCAACCCTCCAAAAAGACTGTCCTTGATCAGCAGCATTTTAGAAAGGAACATACATGCAGTTCAGCTGGCAGAAAAGATCAAACAGCAGCAAGTGAAGACTTCAAAACGTCGAAAATAACTGTTGTACCTTGGTGGAGGTGGGGGTCAATGGTTAACTGAAGGTGCCCTTAATATCTAATACATCCTAGCTATAGGAAGGATCCCTTTGATATCAATCTATGCATTTGTTTAAAATTCAGAGTTCATAGCGCACAAACACACAATCTTGACTTCTCCTTTAACAATGAAGCTGCTGAGGTCTCAAGAGGAAGGCTGGATTTCAACTTCTGATTTTTTCCAGATTTAAGAAGTAGTGCTGCTTGAGTAAACCCCTCCGACTCTTTCACCCGGTAGCATGTTTGATAACATTTACTTTGAAGAGACAGAGAATTTATTCGTAAAGCTCTTCCTAAGATTCTCCTTTGAATTAAAAAACAATGAAGACATCTCAAAAGGACTTTTAAAATGCGAATCCCTTTTGAAGTCTATGCAGCAACTGTCAATGCCCAGGGTGCAAATTTCATCAGTGTGGATACTAAGGCAAGTCCTTCGTGGCAATGACTGAAATACTAGTAGTGTTCCAAATCCTATCTAAACCCCAAACTGACCTCTGTTTCCCCCAGTATATTGACATTTAAGGAATGGATCCTATAGCCTTGTTTCTCTGACATGCCTACTTGATGTTTACTGAAGACTCTTTTTTATGTAAAAGAAAATTAGGCCATTCCAGTACGGTGTACAAGCTACAAATACTGCAAAAGACTGAAGTCAGAGGCCTCAATAATGAACGGTAATTCCCCAGATCAGTAGGTGCTTGGGTGATGCATTCAGTGAAATCAGATGCAAATGGTGGAATCAACGGAAGGAGAAAAGTGGCCTGCTTTTACAATTGTGACCCTTGCCAGCTGATCCGGCCAGCACTGTATAAGGTCCAAAGAAACCTCTGTTCTGTCCTCTTGGCCAGAGGTACTAAAGTAATGCAAGTCCAGATGATAGGTGAAGATGATAAAAGGTTCATAAGGGTTTTCATGAAGGAAGTTAGATTTGCCTCAAACCTCTTGCTTCTAAAGCCCTGCTAATCTCATACTGAGTAAAACAAAGTTTAAAAAGACAGCAGCCTGAGAACAGTTAGCAGAAAAGGATATGTTGAAATGGCAAAAAAGCAGAAGACCAGATAATTGGCTTAAAAGATTTCAAGAAGCTATAAGTTTTTTTGCCTTTTTCAAAGTATCTTGTATCTTATTCCCACTAAAGTTTCTACTACAGGATTTACTTAAAAAAATAAATTAAGCCTCAACAGTTTTTCAATAATACTATATTAAGAACAAACTCCAGGTATGGTACCAATAAAATAAGAATGGCATAACAAGCCACCAGGCTAAGAAGAGTCTTGTTCAGAAGATTGGGGCAATTGGAAAAAATAGGTCTGAACAAGTGAAGTGTAATTATTTACTGCAATTTACTAATGTGCAATTAAGAATCCTGGGTGCACAGAGTGACTGATATGTCTAACCTGAAGCTGAAAGTGAAATATGGTTTCTCAAGTATGGATGTCCAGCAAAAAATACATCTTTTTTCCAAATGAAAACTGGCCTCCTATCTCTTTTTACTGGTAAATGCCACCAAACTGCTTTTGTACTCTGTGCTGCACTTTGAGAAGTGCATATACAGATTTAGTCAAGTGTATGATTACTCAAATGTGGTATGCAGTAAAACTGGCTGAACAGAGCCACAGAAGAAATTTATCAAAGAACTGGGCTAACTGCCATTTCCTTTGTTGTTTGGTGGTGTTTAAAAGAAAACTGAGACAGGAGTGAGGTTTTCCTTGAACAAGTCACCTTAAGAAGATTTTTCCTAAGCTCTAAGTCACGAAGTACTGTATTTATATATGTTAAAAATCTAAATAATTTAATACAGTACAATGATCTTCATAGAATACCAGTACTAAAAGTTAAGAGTACGGAATTCAATATTCAGTTAGTTTTTAAAATACACAAGTGTATTTTAGAAGTATTTTACGGAAGTAATCACTAGCTAAAACTTAAGTTACCTCACATTCCATCCACAGTAGTGCACCAAGTAAAGGACTTCTCCACCTTCGACATCAGAATCTTTAATACTAGCTTCATACATTTTTTGATTTTTCCCTCGTCCATACCGCACTTGGACTTTCATGCCTGGTGGATAGCATTCAAACTCTTCTTCCTCATTGTTGTCATTGTTGTCTTCCTCCTCCTCCTCCTCCTCTTCCTCCTCCTCCTCTGCTTCTTCTTCATCTTCATCTTCCTCCTTATTCGTGTCATCTCTTGAAAGGTTTAAAAAATTGTAGAGTTAATAAAAGATACTTCATAAGCTTTTCAGTTCCAAACCACATATACTGATAAATATTGCGGATGCATTAGAGGCTGGAAACAGCAGGCTCCATATATGTGAAATTGCCTCAGTGTTATATTAGTATTATCAACTAAAAAGAATAGAGCAAAGCACACATAGAATATAATGACACTAAGATGCTTTTACAGCAATGGAAGATTAAAAAATGACGGTTTAGAGAAAAAAAAATCCATCAACATCTGAGAGGAGTGAAGTAGTACTGTATGGTATAAAAACTGTTTAATGTTCTTAGCTTTTATTATTCAATTCTCAAATCCTTCATCTGGTCCCGTAGCTAAAATACCTATGTTTCCAACTCAAACCCATTCTTCTCAATATAGAGAAAACATTCCTAAGTTTCATTTTTCAAGATACAAGTTTTACAAGTGGTAACTTTCTAAGACTGGCTACCATATAAAGATCTGTGCTCTGTTACATCCATTGCCTCACAATGGCCATGTAAATGGGTCAATTCTCTTTTGAAAGGATTGCCATTAAAGCAAGTTTTGTGCAACAGATCCTAAATAGGAGGATTTAAAAAAAATATCCAATTTATGACCTTGTTATTCTTTGCTAAAGGTTTTCAAAAATAAAATAGCCAAGCATACACACACACACACATACACACACACACATATATGTTGAGACCCAAAAATTTCACATGAAGTCTCCATAATTTCAGGTGTGATTTTAGAAACGTAGGGCCAAATTTTCAGAGGTACTGAGCACAGATAAATCCTGTTGATTTAAATCAGTGACAGCTATAGGGTGTTCAGCACCTCTGAAAATCTGGTACTAAGTTTCTAGAGATGGGGGCCCAAAACAAAGGCTATTTGGGCCTTAACCTCTAAACATTCTCTAAGGCACATTCTTACTGGATTTTGGGACTGTCCCTTATTCCTCCATATACAACCTATAATAGATCCATGCCACACATGGAGTTTTTAAAAATCATAGGTTCCTATCAGTTAAAACCTGAAAACCAGAACAAATATTCTTGTACAGTTTAAAAACTGTTTATGAAGAAATACAACTATCAGCCTTTGAGTCAACTTCTGTTTTTAATATACAGTACAAATAAAAAAGTCTATATTAATATTGATATGAGTCTATTTTTCCATACGACTGTACAGGCAAAAATATTAATTTAACACAGCCACTTTCTCTCTTGAAAGGGATCAAACAACATTTTACTGTTTTCTATCAAAGGCATTTGGCCAATATCAAATCACAATTCTTTAATTAGCTGCCATGTGATTTCTAAATAGTGGGCTAAATTCATCCCTAGCACAACTGCACTGATTTCAATGGACTTGCACTAGGAATAGATATGGCCCATTGCATGCATACATGCATATGCCATCAGAAAAAAATTAAAACTCCCAGAGTGTTTATGTACTATGTTATCAGTTAACCCAAAATACATCTATTAAATTCAATACACACCAAGGATAGAGAGGACTCTACTAAACAGACATTTCCATCCTTAAAAGTCTACAGAGTTTTGTATTAATGAATATCACATTAATTATACAACATACTTCAAATGGTCTATTTTGCTAATATAATTAAAACCACCAAAGTTATTAAACTGAAATATCAATAAACAGCTACTTTACAACTCTTTTCCTCTCCAATCTCTCCCAATATGGTCAAATACTTGACCCAAAAATTAACCAGAAAAATCCCACTAAATTCCCGGAGACCAGGATTTGGCCCATAGGCTGGAGAATTCCTTGACAATCATGACCTAGACCTGTCTGGTATTTAGCTTTCAATAAAGTGCTCTCAAAGTGCTCCAGTGCTGCTGTAATTTACAAATCCTAGCAAATTGCAGCTCATGGTTACTGTAATTTTAAGGACTTAAAAGAAAAAAGTTATGGAAACAAAAGTATCAGACAGGGGTTGAGTGTGAAGCCAAGATGTTGCAGAAGCAAGTCATGCCTGAGAGTTTTCAGTGCCATGGAGATTTTCTGGCAATTTTAATGAAATAAACTTTATTGGAGCGAAATTTTTCAAAACCTGATGGCAGAATCCTTAATGATTTCTGAAAGAGGAAAATCATGCCTGAAAAGGAGAAACAAGGACTCTTCCAAAGTCTGTCCAATTACGGTGCAGCCGACTGTGAAGCAACCCACAGGCCTGGACTAGTTTGGAGTCTCCTCTTATCACCCACCAGATATGGTGGCTTTCTTGGTGCATCAATGGATTTCATGCGAAAATAGACTCTACAACAGTCTACCGGGAGTTCTCTGGAGGGGATATTTGAAACCCTCATTGTAAAGCTGAGCAACTTGGATGGTCAAGTAGTTAAGGTGGAGAGCGGACTGTAACAGGTAGAGGGAAATGCCAGGAAGCATAAGGAAATGTCATCAGAGATGGTTGCAGTTAAGAGTGCAGTGAGAAGTGGCCTCGTTAGATCGGAGGTTGGAGAATCTAGAAAACCAAACAAAAGCCAAGAATATTCATATTTTGGGAATAGCAGAACTGCCAGATTATATCCCTGAATGAACTTTGTAAAAGGAAAAGCATGTTCCAGAAGTTGCAAGGAAAGAGTGGAATCTGTTTTATGAAGGCCATAAACTCCTGTTTCAAGACCTCAAACCCAGGTATGAAGATGAAGAGAAAGGAACTGAATGCTGTGAAGCAGAAATTCTTAGAAAAAATTGTGGCCAGGGCATTCCAGTGAGCATTGTAGAAATCTCATTTGGCTATATATGCATGCATGTGAATGTCAGATTTCTTGCATTGCTGTCCATTCAAATTCTAATAAAAAAGGAAACAAACAAGACGCTTGGAAGAAATTACAATCTTAAAAATAAAAACAAACAAAAACAAACCAACCAATAGTCATGACAAAGCTGCAGCGATATGAAAACCCCCTCCCTTGCACAACAGGAGAGATGCATTTATGTTGAAAAGACAGACAGTGGAGCACTACCATAAATGGAGCATTACCATAACTGTGTTCCAACAACCCAAACAATACCAAGCAGCTGGTGAGAAGGACTGGGTTGTAAGTAGCTCACTTATTTAAATTACAGCAACCAGCTAAAGAAACCCTCAAACTCCATAGAGTGGAAGCTTCAGCCCTTAGAAGCAGAAAATCAAAGGTAGGAGGAAGCATTTATAATTCTAAAATATCTGGTAATAATAAAGCAAATATATTAAAATATGTGTAAATACACACACACACACATGAATATCACAAAACTCAAACAATACAGTGAGGGAGTTTAAAATGTTTTTAATATTTTAAAACTACTTAAAATTATAGCCATAATTTACTCTACAGTAGCATTTTTGTCAATACAGAGGCACATAGGCCAAATACAAACATACCCACTGTGCAGGTATATTAACAAATAAATATGAATGCATGAAATAGTATGTGTTATGTACTGTTATGTAGGAAAGTGCTATACCCTGTAATCTTTAGGGCCATTGTGTCTGACAGAAAGAGTGTTACCAATCCTTATTGTAAAAGTTCTTCCCAGCAGCTTCAGCCAATAAAAAGTCCATTTGATTAGGGTTGTTGCACAACCCCAAGATGGGGTCAAAACCAAATCTCATCATACATACAGTACCAATAACATGGCAGCATATATAAATAATAATTAACAAATGTAAGAGTAATGTAACCAAGCATTAAGTTAATATAGGGATCTGCAGATTTCTGGGGTGCTGAATATTCTGTCAACTTAATTTATCCTCGCTTGGTATAAGTCAGAATGGTCCTTCTGAAGTGGGAAATATTTTTCATTATTTGAACACATCATCTGGCTTGAAAGGATGGGTTTTTTAGTTAAGACTCTGAACTAAGACTCAAGGAGATCTGGGTTCAATTCCCAACTCTGCAAAAGATTCCATGTGTGACACTGGGCAAGACATTTAATCTTTTCTGTACCTCAGTTCCTATAGTTAAATGAAGATAAGAACACTTCCTGTCTCTCACGTCTGTTTAGAGTGCAAACTCTTTGAGGCATGGACTGTCTCTTATGTGTTTATACAGTGCCTAGCACAATGGCTCTTTATAATCTTGGTTGTGGCCTCTAGCTGCTACTATAAAAATAAAATATCGGGGGGGGGGAAATGTTTTTGGGGTCTCCATCTGTAATTCTATAAATATGATGAAGCATCAGGGGACTGGATATTAGGTATACTTGAGACAGGCTGTCTAAATATAAATGCTGAACTGTCGACTTATTACTACTGCATATAATTTTAGTTTGCTGTTTTTAAATCTTTTAATATTTAGATGTTTGTCTCTCAGCTTGCTCAATTTCATACAAATGCTTTGGTACGGAATATAGCTTTTGGCCCTTTATTTTGTTTGACCCAGGAAAACAACATGGATTACTACACATTAATATAGCGTTCTTTATGTGGGACTCAAATGGAATCATGTTTACTGTAGATTTAATTACAGAAGTAATAATATGGAAAGATTGCCACATGATTAAAAGGTAGGAAAACAAAAATATCAGAACAAGGGAGGAAGAAGAGACAAGAGGATCACATTAGATTTGGCACACACTACTATTTCTAACAAATTATGAAGACAGCAGGAAGCCTTAGGATGATCCTCCACATCTCCCAGAACTGCGAATGAAAATCCTCCAGGGAATTCAACTTCTGTTGACACCCCCTTGGCTTTTTTCGCTATACCAATTACCTCCCGACTCTTATGTCTGAATCAGCTGCAATGCTGCCAAAGCTTTTGTCGTTGGACCTCACTGCAGCCTCCAAATCCTTAAACAGTCCCCTCTCCAATGCTTTTATTTATTTCAAAAGGTATATGTAGAGAAGTGACTCTCCATCCTTTTCTTCGTAGACAGAAGAGCCCCTCTCCACCCCCCATGAACCTTCTCGCTGCCAAATCTCTAAATCTCTTGCAGCTGTCTGTTCATGTACTCACTAGTAGAATTACAC